GACATGATTAATTTGATATATTATATTTAAAAATTTGTTAATACAAAAATCCTAATTGTTAAATATAAATTACAATTTCAGTTAGTAGATTTGTTACAATTTTAAAAGAAATATGATGGAAAAAGAAAGATTTGGAAAAAAAAAATATACCTTATAAACTACGTCTACAATAGAAAATGATATTAAAACATAATTAATGCTCACAAAAAGGACCATAAATATCCAAATTATTTATGGAATAGCCTAGTTACTTATGGACATAAATTAAAATTCATCCATGCCAAACAATAAAGCTCAATAATTTGTGACATAAGATCCCGAAGCGTGCGAGTCAGTCACTTAAGCTCAGCACATTTTGGAATTATATATAGGGGGAATTGGCATGTTATCCTTGTTGCGCGGATATTGAATTCATGCTGGAAGTTTCATACTCCTTGTTCATACCAATTATTATTTCGTCAACAAATTTACAAATTCTATCTTTTTTGTTTTCTGATTCTTTACTCCTATCACTTCTCGGCTGAACAATCAAATTAACGAACAATTTCCAATGTGGACTGAAGTAACTTCTCCCAAAAGATATGTTTAGTTTTCTTTTTTCCTTTTTTTTTTCCGAGACACAAACATCACAAAAAACTAACCTGTCCGGAGCTAGGCAAATCCCCAGCATTCCCACACTCCAACTGATATGTAAAATTGAAGTCATGCTGCTGAGCAGGGGATCTGAAAACTGTGCATCCATCTCTAACCACCATGAACCCACTATCCCCTAAATTAACAGCATGGAGACCCTAAACAAATTACAACAAAAGTCAAACATGACCAAACCACATGCACTAAATAACAATAAGCTTTGCTTTTCTCGGGAAAATCTCTCTTCCCCAGACAACTATCTCGCAACAATTACAAAATTACTCAATCTACTCAAACATTAAAATTCCTCATTTTGAAGAAAACGGACAAATCATCATTGCACATTTCCCCCAAAACTCTACTCATTTGTTTTGAATCAAGTGTCATTTGAGTTGCAATTTGAAACTATGGAACAAGATAATATGAATAATGCATCCCGATCAATTAACAACATCCCTAAGTTTTTTTTCTCCCACTCTCTCGTTGTTAAATAATTACCATAATTTTCTTAGATTCTTAAACAAGTAGTGACAAAGTTGGAAAATTGTGATAAAATTTCTTAAAACGGCATTTAATTTGTAAAAGGTAAAGCCTCTAAATGACACTTGATACAAAATGGAAGAAGTACAACTCAATCACATTGATGCTCAAGTGTCTACCGTTGTTTTGTGCAATTGTTTATATCAGATCAACTTTCATTATTACGTGTTAACCTCACATACCCCAATGACACCCAAAATTCATCTCTTTCCTTCAAAATATGTCTCACCACTATTATGAAAGAAAACAAGATATTTCAAAACAAAATCATATCCAGCCGCAACCCTGACAAATCTCAATGGGTGACCAAGCTAGAAACTTCCAGTAAATAATACACCATATCACATCTCATCACCAAGAGCATATATAGATGGCAAAAGATCACCTGCTCCGTGAGGGCAATAATACAAGCGGTGGATGACCCTTTGGCTTGTGTTCGGGTGTAGGCTTTCTCTAGAACTCGGGCTGGGTCAACAGAACCCCTTGGCTCTTCTTGAACCGCACAAACTGAGTTGGACATTAGTTCACGTGCATATTTACCCGCATCAACACCCACATCAGCCCATCCACCCACACCATCAGCCACGCCAATGGCTTGTTCGTCCGCACAGATGAAATGTGCATCCTCCCCACCAGTGTCTTCTTTGTCGGGATGCGGAAGATAACATGATCCAGAATTCAATTTTAAAGTTCGGTCCTTTGGTGTCTTCCTGCATATGAAAATAGAAATCATGAGTCAAACTGTATGAAACAATGACGTTTAATTTAATGAATGGAAACATACTTTATAAGATGAAATAAAAACACACATACAAACGCGTAGTCACACAGAACAAAACAAAAAACTAAAAACGCATTTTCCAAAGCCAAAAGAAACTTCCTCCGTAACATCCAGATCAACAGAAAAATAGTTCAATGTGGATCAAAACCAGGAAAGTAGACAACAGAAAATATGGTTAAATAACATAATAGCACGATACAAGCTCATAGCTAAAGTCCTAACTCCTAATGATACCAGCACTAGGTCAAGCATGAGTGCTATTTTATTATCAGCAACTAATTTTTTTCTTATATGTATCAACTTTGAATATAATAAAAGGAACATACGGCTCAGAAGAATCTGCAGAACTTGAATGGTGATTCTCCTTCACAACACTCTCACAGGACGCATCAGGTGCAATGCAAGCAGAAGAATAAGCAGGTGATGATACATGAAAACCGTCAAACCCAAATCCCAGCAATGGATCACCATTGCCTTTTCCCTTAATCAAATTAGTATATATGAAGTATCCGTAGAGCAAAAATTTATTGGGCTGCTCATTATTCCTCAAACCCATAATAAATTTTCTACAGTTCACAAAGCCAATTCTGTTGCAAGAACCGAAAGGACGACATGCACCCACAGTAGGTTTCAAATTACTGATAGCACAGTCAAAAAAAGCTGGTGTGGATCCACAGACAGCCATTGGCGCCTTTTGATCTTTTATTTGCAAAATCTGAAAAGGGTCTGATATCAAACGATCAATATGATACTTGCACGCTTGAAACGACGGCCCTGACACGGATGGTATAGAAAGTACACGTGAAAATGCTTCAACAACTGAAAGGTTCTTTTTTTGGTTGGTCAAATACAGATTTTCTTGAGCAACAGCAAAAGTTCCAGGCCAAACTAACGCATGCAGGTCAGTAAAGGTTCCAGATGCTAAAGAATGTGACAGCCTAGACTGGCCTAAAAATAACTTCCCTTGGCCAATCAGAATATCGACCTGACTTTGACTCCCGGTTTCTTGAGCAGATAAAGATGTCCAGACACCTCGCCAGATTGCCCCACGAAATCTTGAGAAATAGTTTGTTGGCATTTCCTGGGCCCAAGTGAAGTAAATCTGTAGATTTTTGCAGCTGGGGGCACAGCCACAGATAAAAAAAAAAAAAATATATG